TTTTTTTTTTTTTTTTTTTTTTTTGTACTGGTGATCGAACTCAGATCTTTGCACTTGCGAAGCAGGCGGCGGCACCACTGAGCTAAATCCCCGCCCCTTCCACCCTTTATTTTTTAATTTTGAGACTAGGCCTCTCAATTTCCCAGGCATGACTTGGACTTGCAACCCTCCTGCCTCAGCCTCCCTTGGTGCTGGGAGTACAGGTGTGTACCATGAAATCCAGCATTTTTTAAATAGTGTAGTGAAACTATCCTTCATTTCTAGTGGAACAAACTTAAACCTTTCAAAACTCTTCTTTCTGTATCCCTTCCTTCTACCCCAGTAGTCTGCTATCTTTTTAAGTTCTTTGCTCCTGATTTAGACCAACCCACTGGGAGATACTTGGGCCTGCGTTAGTTTGTAATACTTAGATCTGACCTTGTTCTGCTGGGCTCCCTGGTACATATTCAGAAATCCAGATGGTCTCTGATTTAGGAAGTTTGAAGGGAATAGCAGGCTTGGTGTTTCCTTTTCCTCCTATCTCCTACCTGCTTGGCTTAGCTTTTCTTTTGGATTATCAGTGGAATTCATAGTTAATTTAACTGGGCCTTGTGCACAGCCAAGTTTTCACCGGCCACGGACTTCACCTGGGTCAGCAGTTCCCGACGAGGCTGCAGCATGTCGACTATAACACCTTCCCCAGAGTGAACATAATGGAGAGGTTCTGGCGAACTTCTGGCTCTTTGGTCACACCCAGGAGCAGGTCTCCAGTTCGGTACAAGTATGTCTTCAGCACCTCTCTGGTATATAACAAAAGTGATATAAGACCCAAGTGTTAAATAGCAGTATCCAGCTAGAATTTAATCACATTATTTTATTCTTATTCTATAAATCTTTTTTTGTTACATCCTGTTTAAGGCAAGCGATGATACTTCTGTAACGGAAGGAAAAAGATTTTCTTTAACCCATTTAATTTTTAAAAGTGAAGGAATTAAATCAAGAAATCAAGTGAGGGTCAGGGATTTAGGTCAGTGGTTCTGCCACCTGCCTTGCAAGTGCAAGGTCCTGAGTTCCATGCCCGGTACCCCCCCAAATCAAGCGAATAATTATAGGGGTGGTGGACAAAACTGAAGAGAAGGGACATGCCAAAATGGTGTAAGGAAACAAAAATTCTGTACATGAGGTTTCTATGACTGGTGTTTGGGCAACGCTTTAGAAATTGTATCATGGTCTGCCAGACTGTATCCCTACCCTCAAGATGGCTAAGACCACATCTCTGTGGTTTCATTGTTATGCTTGGGAACCAGGGGCCACTCAATAAAGATCAGCTGCCAAAGGAAATAGAAGTGAATGGATAAATTATGTAGCTCTGTTCCCCTTGAGACAGTAGAGGACTAGAGGAACAGACTGCTTGACCAAGAATGCAGAGTCTTTTGGTAACAGAACAGTGGCTCCAGCCCCGATCTCCCACTGTGAGACCCTTCCCATGCTGTGCAGCGAACCCTGGGCTCACATGTTAGCAAGTTCTGGTCAGTCAAGTCATCTACTTGGTCCCTTTAGTAAGAGTGTATCTCTTAACAGTGCTTTGATGCTACTGAGTCCCCCAAGCTTTGCATGAGTACTGCTAGAGATTAAAATTCCCATCAGACACCCTTTCCAACATCCTCACCATAATTTTATCATTTTACTCAATATTGTCTCTCAAAGGGTGAACATTATGCAATGGGAACCATAACACAATGACTCAGGGTAATGATAGCTGATATATTGACCTTTAGAAAAGAAATAGACATGATTGGCTAATTATATCTCTGTTGATTTTCCTAGAGAATAGCAAAGGCCAGTCTCCAAGCTAGCCAGGTTTGAGGGCATCATGGTTTAGGTCACCCAGGGTAGCATTGTAACCCTAGTTGGGGCAGTCATCTGTTTCCCAGGCATCCTAGCGAGGAAGGAAGTGCCACATACACTGGAAAGGGCAATGACTGGGACATCTGTTTCCTCTCCACAGGTCGACCGTGGGTGCCATGCTTGCCTCCGAGGTAGCTGTTCTTAGCCTCCCCAGTGTACATCCTGCTGTGTTGTGTCTCATTGCTTCTCTGTCTTCTGGCTTGGCACGGTTTGTGCGCACACTTCTGCTCACTTGGAACCCCTGGAGCAACTCGGTTTTCTCCTTGGTGATTTCAAATAGTGATGAATGAAAGTGGGGCTGCCTCACCCCCGGAGTGGAGATTGTAAAATGGCTGCCTCACCCCCGGAGTGGAGATTGTAAAATGGCTTCGCAGAGCCCTTCCTCTTGTCTCTGGGGCGGGGACAGGGAAGATGGTGGTGGGACTGTTTCTGCACCTGCTGGTGACTCACTCCAGGGTGGCTGTCACTCGAGCCGTAGTGCCTGTCACCGATGCCCTTCCCTTTGTTCCTGAAGCTGGGCTGGAAATTCTATGATGCAGACGACTTCCACCCAGAGGAGAACCGAGTGAAGATGGGGAAGGGGATGCCACTGACTGACCAGGTAAGGGCGACCGTGTCCAACGCGTACACCTGGGTGACAGGGTGAACTCCTGGAGCACGTGGTGAGTCACGGGGTAGCCCGTGTGCAGGTTCCCCAAGGGTCCCCCGAGGGCCCGGTGACAGTAGGCCCTTCGCATCTGTAGCTCTAGCCCAGCCCTCCTCTAAACTGGCGGCAGCAGCAATGCCACCTCAATACCACCTCTGCCCCAGCACGGGCAGGGCCTGCCACACCTTGCTGCGGGATTTGAATCTGCAGAAGAGGCCCAGAGGCTTCTGCAAGGGGAAGCACGTCATCTTCAAGGTCCTGCTAGCCTCACCCCATCCCCAGATCCTGGCAGGGTCTACCCAAGGCCAGAGGAATCTTGCAAACTCAATTGTGGCAGTGTCACTCTCCTAAAACCATCAAGATGCTTCCAGCTGATCTCAAGGTCAAAGCCAGGGCATCTAAATTCCTAAATATCTACTCTGTCCTCCACTTCCGGCCTCCGGCCTCCTTTAGGTGCTGTGTGCTCTCCCTGTTTCTATGAGCCACCCCATTCCCTCTTAGTCCCTCATGGACTACATTCCCCTGGCCTGGAATGTGTGACCTTCCCTCTTCCCCAAGGGAACCTGCTCACCCTGAAGATCCCAGGCCCCGGCTACCTCCTCAGAGAAGCCCTCCCTGACTGGCCTCCCTGAATAACTCTCCAATCACTACTTGCCTGTTGGCCAGGACCGACCTGCAACTCAGCAACTGATGTTCTGAGAATTTGGTTAATATTTATCTCAGCAACTAGACTTTGTCCCCAGAAGGGCAGGTACTGTGGCTTTCTCTGTTACCATTGTATCTCCAGGCCTGACAGTAAATATAGGAAGTGTTTGGGGCATGTTTGGGGTATGAGTGAATGACTTTCCCCTTATGTAGGACTACAGGACCAGATCCTCCAGTGTCTCTCAGACCAGGTACAGGCTGTGGTTTCACAGGCACCATTAGCTGTGACTCAGGCTGGGAGGGCCTGCCACGTGCTGTGTGTCCAAAGGGCAGGAACACTTAGAACTGGCCGAAGACCAATGCTTGTTTTCACTTTCATTGACCTTGGCTGCCCCCAGCTGTGGCTTGTGTGGTCTCAGTACCTTCCCTGTGCCAGGCCTGAATCACTGGAGTCCCTATCCTCCCTCCGGTCTGTCCCAGAGCACTCTAAAGTCCACACAACCTTGTCTTGGAGGGTGCAGTGTAAATTTGCAGTGGTTCAAACCTTAAGCCATCAAAATAACTTTTGGGCCGGGGATTTAGCTCAATGGCACAGTGCCTGCCTTGCAAGCATAAGGTCCTGAGTTCAATCCCCAGTACCACAAAATAAAATAATAGTAATAATAATGTTTAACTTTGGCTTTAGGAAATAGAACAAGGGAAGTGTAATAATTTAAATACAATAGTGATCTTATGCTAGAGATAATAAACATAATAATAGTCACCTGGGCCTCAGCACAGGCCTGGGTGACCTCTGGCAAATGGCTTAGTCTTTCTGTGCCTTGTTTTCTTCCTGTAAAGTAAATGGCAATGGGATCTATTTCATTGAATTCCAGGGGAATTAAATGAGGTCACAGGAATAATGCACATAGCACAGTGCTCAAAGTACTCAATATATGTTAACTATTATTACGGTACACACACCCACCTATAAACCATATAAATAGATAGGTAACATAAGCCACTTTCACAGAATATATAAAATGGGACTGCGCAGGTATTTTATATTTCTCTTTGGTAAGTATGAATAAAAGGTAAGTTACAAGTAAAGCACCTCAAATGGATTTTAAAATGTCATTTACACATCTTTCCTTTGTTCATGACCCTTTCTAAGTAGGGAATATGAGGTGGGAGTGGCACGTGCCTATAATCCAGCACTCTGAGAGTCTGGGGCAGGAGGACCCCAAGTTCAAGGCCTAACATAGGCATTTAAAATTTAGCAAAACTGTCTCAAAAATATAATGGGCTGAAGATGTAGCTCAGTACAAAAAGCCTTGGATTTAAACCCTAGTAACATACATATACACGAAAGTAAGTAATGTGAATGTGGTAGGTAGAATTCAGAAAAAGAGGAAGTTATATACAGGAGAAAGAAATTTCTGGTTCGTAGACAGTATATTCCAGCACCCCCGCGGGATGCCTGCAGCCATGGAGAGCACCCGGTCCTGGGTACACTTTGTTTCTCCTGTGCAAACACGTCTGTGGTAGGGTTTAATGGATAAGTTAGGCACAGTGAGAGATTAACAAAAACTAAATGACAAGTAGTAAAGTAGAGCAATTATAATCAAAGTCTTAGAACTTATGAATTGTTTATTTCTGCAATTTCCATTTCATATTTTTTGGACCATGTTTGGCCATTGGGAACCGAAATCGTGGAAGGTGAGACCACGGATAAAGGGAGACTACGCTACGTACTGCACAAATGAACATATCTAGGAGAAACTGTAAAGTCAGGCAGACCTCAAGGAGAAGCAAAACTGAGAAGTTGAGAGAATTACATTCCTGGCAGAGCGCACACTGTCTAGGAGTAAGGTGCAGGTCCCAGCTGGGCCTCTGTGCCCCTGTGTCCTTGGCACCCAGGGAGGGTAAGAATGGGGGGCAGAGGGTTGGTTAAGTTACACAGAGGAGAGCATGCATGTGGAAAGAATAACTCTCTGCTACAGCCCCAGAAAAAAGGCAGAAAAATTATAAAATCCAATTAGTAGATATTTCTGGAAGACGAGACCAAAGTAGCTATATTCAGTGAATGAAATTTTCAGTACTTCCCAGACTTTCTAGAAGTATAGGTATTACATTTATAATCAGATTTTTTTTTTTTTTGAGACAAGGTCTCACTTTGTAGGTCACGCAGGTCTGAACTCATTATGTAGCCCAGACAAGCCATGACTTCATGGTGATCCTCCTGCCTCTGCCTCCTGAGTGCTGGGATTGTAATTTTTTTTTAAGAGCCCTCTTTTTCAAACAGACTCTGAGGCTGAAGCCTACTTGGATGACCCTGCTGGCCCAAGTAGGACAGCGTGGGCCTGGTACATGAGGACTTACTGGCTCACAGCTTGGAAACTAATAGTAATACCATCAGCATCACCTTGGAACATGTCACAGCCTGGGTGGGATATCTCTCTAGGCTGGTCCTGTCTCCATGGCTGGAATGTTCTATAGCTATGCTGACCAATATGGTAGCCACATGTGGCTCTTCAGCTATTTAAAATATGACTAGTGCTACCCAGGAACTGAAATTTGCATTTTATTTAATTTTAATTAGTTTACATTTAAACAGCCCCAAGGAGCCCTTGATTTGTTTCACTCAGACCTCAAAGGGAGACACCACTCATGTTTATATCCCCATTTCTTAGTATGCTGCTTTGCACACATTATCATTCAGGATTTGGATGAAGACCCTGCATGCCAAGGCTGAAGTGGCCTGTACCCAGGTGGCGGTGCCAGTCACCATCAGCACAGCTCAGAGGCTGCAGGATGGATGTGTCAAGGACCAACTTGGGGTCCCTGACTACTATCAAGATGCTCATTTTGGGCACTTACTAAACAATGTGCTGCTTCACAAACTGCAAATTCAACACCAAACAGGCTCCTTAGTAGCAAAGGCAGCCACAGCCTAAGATGACAGCTGGTGCTGGTGCTACTTCCAATGTCGGTATCTTTGAAGAGCTGCAAAAATAGGAAGGTCTCTATATTTCTGAGGGTCTTCATCCTAGATCAGTCACCAAAATCTGCAAAGGGGAAAAGCCCTGAAGTTTTGGGAACAAGTCAAGGTGAGCAGAGAGATGGCTAGACTTATAGATGTGGCCAGAATATCTCTACGTCCTAAAGTTCATGCTGAACCTGCAGATGTCTTCATAGAGGCTATAGCAGACTCCATTTTGGCCATTAGAAGAAAAGATGGACCTATCAGCCCATTCAAGGTTGAGATCATGGAGATGAGACATAAATTTGAAACCCATACAAGCTGAATCAGAGGCCTTGAACCTTGAAGCATGGCATCTGGTATAAAAAAATAGTGGAAAATGCATGAATGCATACATCTTCCTGAGCAGTGTTTCCTTAGAATCCCCCCGCAAAGTGAGTTTGGGCTTTTTCTATAAGAATACAGAAGAGAGAAAAACCAGTAAAAGCTAAAAGAAAATTCATTGAAGAAAGCGTAAAAAAACAACTACAAAAGAAAGTGTGATTCAGAATAAGAATTTGTTATTAATCGAAGGGAAATTGACACCTTTTCCTTAATGCTCTTGCAAAAGAAGGCATAGTAGCTCTGCATAGAGCTAAAGGGAAAATACAGAGAGGCTGACCCTTGCTTGTGGTAGGGTAAATTCTTTTGTGGGGGGTAGATTCTTTTGATGACCCAAATCCTGACTGGGACGTGCAAGACTGGCTTATGCACATGCATTGGGAGTTCACCTTTATTGAGAATAGTAACATTCCCACGGTGTCCCATTGGTCAGAGGACCAAAGAAGCACACTATCCCTCAGCTCAAACACAATAGGTGGCTGGAGGGCTGTAAAAAAGGCTGTGGATGGTGGCTGCATGGCTCCAGGTACTAGAACAGTAGCCCAGATTAAATGCAAGCCACAGTAGGGCCTGCACAGAGTCTAAGCATTTGCTGATACATTGCTCATTATTCCCAAGGCCCCTACTCAGGACTCTGGCTTTGATTTTCAGGAAACGTTAGTCAGAATGCAAGTGGAATGTTCCAGGTCAGGTCAGCTTGTGGGTGTGGACTTGAGCACAGGAGAGCAGATGGTAGCAGCGGAAGTGTAGGAGAGCTGCATGTGAAGAGGCAGCTGCTGGGCTCCACACTCGATTGCTGCCAGCATTCTCCTGGCTGATGAGACCGTGCAGGCTGGACAGTTCTCTCTGAAAGGCTCAGTTGAAGCCTCCCTTGTACCGTCCAAATCCTGAAGGCTACAGAATGATCCTGGGGAATACAGTTGTGGAATGTCCAAGCTTCAAAAGATTTTCGGGCCGGGGATTTAGCTCAGTGGTGCTGCCCCTGCCTCGCAAGCACAAGGACCCGAGTTCGATCCCCAGTACCAAAAAAAAAATTTTTTTTTTCAAAGAAATTTTCTTCCACATGAAAAAAAGTGGGGGGATAACACTCGGCCTCTATTCAAATTATGATGTGGAATTCTAAGTACATTTTATTTGCACTGAGTGCACTCATGAAGCAGGTGCTTTTTACACAGAAAACAAGTGGTTTTCGTTTAGCTACATTACCTTAGAAGTGCATGTTAGAATAGAGTATGTTCTGCCTTGTTTAATAAAGTCTTTTTTTTTTTTTTTTTTTTTTTATGGTGCCAGGGATAGAACTTGGGCCATTGTGCTTGTGAAGCAGGCGGATGAACCACTGAGCCAAATACCTGGCCCAAAGTCTTTGAAAAATAAATTTTAATGATTTAATAATTTCTTATGGATTTATTTTAAATTAAGCAACAGTACCCTCTTAGACATTTGCATATAAATGTTACGCTGGTGTGTAACACTTGAGTTATTTAGGAATTTGGAAGCATGTATTTCCTTAGTATTAATTTCTAAGTAAAATCATACAATCATTTTGACTTCTCATGCTTTTGAAGTAACTTTGCTAAAATGCTAGAATACTCAGAAAAGTCATGTTGTAGTGGCTAGGAAGACAGTGAAGTAGATAAAGATGAGAAAACTCCTGCCATGTAAAGGTACAGGATCCCAGTAATGAATGTAACTGTGCTTTGTACCTAGAATGTGCCAATAAACTCAATTTAAAAAAAAAAAGATGAGAAAACAGTGGCAAAAATGGACGTAAAAAGATGGCTGGCATCTGACAACTATAGACTGGGGTTATTAGGTGAAACAGTTTTTGGGGTGACTATATTTTCCAAGCGTATGAACTTTAATGCTTTTGCAAAATATCTACCCCAAACCCTCTAGTGTCACCATTTTTCCAAACTATTGCTCTTCCTAGTTTCCATGAAATTTTTTTTGTTTTGTTTTGTTTTGGGGTTTGTTTTTGGTTCGTTTTTTTTTTTGTTATTTTGTTTTTGGTACTGGGGATTGAACTCGGGTCTTTGCACTTGCAAGGCAGGCCACCAAACCGCTGAGCTAAATCCCTGGCCCTTTGAAATTGTTTTTATGCAACTAATAGCAGCAGTCCTTGAGGGCAGATTTTGTCAAAAGCTTTGCATTTTGAGGGCTTAGCAGTTTCCTACATTGAGTGGGCAATAAATGTGAAGTTGAAACCTCAAAAAAAAAAAATTCAGTGTTTGTGGAATTAAATCCCAGTGCCTACCAAATTCATGAATGAAACACTCCGAAAAATTGAAAGTTGGAGATAGCTTCTTTTATACATTAAATCACTCAAAAAGTAATGTTTAGAATGACTTTATTCCTTTTCTTAAACTGCAGAGCAGCTCAATGAATTATGTATGATCATCGTTCTACAGGTAAACCAGAGAGGCACAGAACAGTGAAGTAACCTGGGCAGACAGTGGAGGAATCTCCGAACCGCAAAAGTCATACTTTTCCTAGTATATTAAGGGTCGTGATAATCTACCAAATAAATGATTCTCAAGAAGTAAATCTTAGTTGGTTAAAGGAAAAGTAAAGGTCTGGCTGTGGTCACACACCTGCAATCCCAGCACGCCGGGAGACTGAGGCAGGAGGATCAGAGGTTTGAGCCCAGCCTGGACAACCTGGTGAGGCTGTCTGAAAATAAAAAATAAGATACAGCTCAGTGCAAAGGCAGCAGCTTCCATTCTCAGAATGAAAGAAAAGAGGAAGGACTAAAAGTGAGGGTAGGGACCAATAGAAGAAGATAGTGAAACCTTGGGTAGCAAACAGCACGTGCACTACGCACATGTGATGCTTCAAGGCCCAGTGCCCTGCTCTGTTAGAAGAGATGCAAGAAGTTAAAATTAAAAGTGCTTATAAATAACAGCATTATCTTTTTCATCTCTATTAGTTTATGCATGTGATAGGACAGCTTGACTAACTGCAAGAGAAATACAAGAAAGAGGAATTTATAAAGATGGAGTCAACGGTGTCTTCTGAGTTAACTCAAGGGCTAGAATGTAACTCAGTGGTAGAGTGCTTAAGTGTACAAGGCCATGGGCTAAATCCCAGCACCCAAAAAAAAGAAAAATGAATTCAAACCAAGAGTGACATCTAGAGTATTGGACTGAAAAACACCCAAGATAGTGTCTGCAATCCCCTGACCATGGTCAGTACTTACCAATGGCTGGAGGGAAGTGGAAATCCAAATTTGTGCTGGAACTGAACTTGGGAGCCTCTCCCCAGGAGCAGCTCCCGTACAGAAACAGAATACTTCATAGTTCAATCTGTCCAGTTGAACCCCTGCTACCTGTGGTCCTCGGCGCCCTTCTTCCTTTCCTTCACTGTAAGCCCAGAAAACACAACGTTGCAGTTGCAGTTTTAAAAGTTGTGTAAATGTAGCCCCTCCAGGTATTTATTTTTCCTCCTGCACAGATGCTGTAGAACATCTAGGTTGTGAAGAATCGGGTCTTATCAAATCTTGCTAATAATAAACATTAGCAATACACTCTTCTCCAAGAGCACAAAAGTCCCCCATTCTGACTTCATTAGCAGAGTTCTTATGGTCTGCTAGTAGGAACCAGTAAGTCTCATCTTGTTAATGCTTATACAAGTAACCACACTTGTTCACCAAGGGCACCCAGATAAGAGCTGACATAAACAGATGTTTCATTTGTTAAATACATTGAAGTGACATTATGTACCCATGGCAACAATTTAATGAGACTAATAATTTGTATGATTTTTTGAAGGCCAGCCTAGACTACATAGCAAAACCCTGTCTCAAAACCACTGACCCCAAAACAAAAAGAAAAAAAAAATCAGAAGTCACATTGCACTGCAAAAAAGGCCCTAGGCCCAAGAGTTTTTTCACATATGTACAAGCAGTTTCAAACAATAGAAAAAGAGGGGGCTGGGGATTTAGCTCAGTGGTTCCACCACCTGCCTCACAAGTGCAAAGTCCCAAGTTTGATCCCTGGTACCAAAAAAGTAAGAGGGAACACTGTCCTCCTTATTTTATGACGCTAATACAACCAGAGTTAAATATGGGTTATGTAAGAATGAAAGGCCAGTCTCACATAGTACCTAAATTCAGAACCCTAAACAAAATGGTAGCATCAAATACCTAAAAGCAAGGACTTTTAAAAATACATAACCGTAAGGTTCAGATGGTGTAATTGAGAGTGTGAAATAGGAAGAAAATGGCTAAGTGGGAAGGGGAGGGGAAGGAAATATGGGAAAAGAAAAAAGGAAAAGATGGAAACAAAGTCTTTGTAAATAGGGAGGGGTGCGGGGGCAGGGAAAAAATAAGAACCAAGATATAGCATATAAAGGTACACAATCCCAAGATAAATGTAACTGTCGTTGGCTTTAAATGTACCAACAAACAAATGGGAAAAATACATAACATTTCTGGAGTAAGCATCAAAATAATTTAGGATGGACCCACAGGTAAGGGTATGGGCTGGAGGCTGCAAGATTGCGTAAGCTGCGCATTGGGACACACAGGTTTACTTTGTACTCCTCAGTCTGCTTTCCCTATGTTTCAATTTTCCTAATCAAAAGGTGTTTTTGTCTTTGTTTGCAGTGCCGTCTGGCCAATATTCCAAATTTACCCCTGTGCAGGAGATTTATTTGCGAGACACCATAGGGTGTGCTATGTAACAACTTCTGTCTTCTTGGCCAAAGTGGAATTGTCAGGCTGGGGATTTGGCTCAGTAGTAGAGCACCTGTCCAGCCTGTGGGAGGCCCCAGGTTCAGTTCCCAACACTGCAAAAAACAAAACCAAAATGAAACAAACTTCTCATAATGCGTCTTTCTGAGGAGTTTTGGTTTGGGTGGGGGTTGATGAGTGGGACCAGAGCGCAGCTGACATAGTGGGTGTGTGAGCTCTTCTCTGCCTGTGAGAGGCCCTGAGGTGGGGTAGGAGATCGGCGATATGTGTATTAGAACCACAGACAGGTTTGATTGTGCAGACTCAAGGAGGAACCACAGTTCTTAGGAAAAGAACAACTGACACTCAAGCCAAGAAAGTATTTCTTGGGCCGGGGATGTAGCTCAATGGTTCCGCCGCCTACCTCACAAGTGCCAGGTCCTGAGTTTGATTCCTGGTGCCAAAATTTCTTGGTTCACTGCCCGGTAAATTGGCCCCTCGGCTAGGCACTGATCTCCTTAAAAGCACAAAGAAAGATCTCTCTGGACCTTAACATTTGTGAGAAGTACCTTTGTGTTTGCTCTGATTCCAGGACAGGAGGCCATGGCTCTGCAACTTGCATGACATTTTGCTAAGGTAAGAAGCCCATCTAGCCAGTGAGTAAAGAATCCTGTCAGAAAGAATAGTGGGGAGTTCACTCTCGAAATCACAACTGGCTGTTGAGAAAGGATCCCAGAAATAGAATGCTCTTCCACCAAGTAACAATGCTGATTTCAAGTAGCCACAAATGGTGTGCTGTTCACTACGGCTCTGGGGCCATGGTTCTCTCCGGTCCGTGGTTAGTCCTGGCTGGGGTTTCCATCAGCCACGTGGCTTCCACCCACAGTTCCTGCTCACAGACTGTTGAGGATAAGAGGGTGCATGGGCTACACTTAGAACAATGACTGATAGAAAGTAAATCATCAGGACTATTAACTGATGCCACCCCTGTTATAGTCCATCTAAGTCAACACTTTTCCTCCCCTGCTTCAAGCTGTGACAACCAGGGTGGTCTGGGGTCATCCGTAAAGAGTGCGGGTAACTGGCCACCAGGATTGTAGGCTTCATTGTCCAGCTCTGAATCATGTCTCTGACTGGCAGCCAGGCCTGGCCCTGCTGGAAATCCCGGATGGAACTGAAGAATAAAGAAAAGGCAAGAAGTAGGCTATGCATCTTACTCCCTAGGAAGTTGTGTTTGATCAAACCAAAACCATCTGGGTATAGGAAGTCAGGATGTGTTTACAACTAAAAATTCAAGTGTGCTAGGGGCTGGGGATTTAGCTCAGTGGTTCTACTCCTGCCTCACAAGCGCAAGGACCCAAATTCTACCCCCGGTACCAAAAAAAAAAAAAAAAAAAAAAAAAAAAAAAAAAAAAAAAAAAAAAAAAAAATTCAGTGTGCTTTTTTTCACACCCTATTGATATGGTTGGAGCCCAGTCTTCACATGCGCTTAAGGTTAAGGGGCTTCAGGGTTTGGGAACTCCTGCTCATCTGGGTCTCTGTCATCAGTAGCCTCATCAGAGTCGCTACAATAATAGTGGCCTGCAGTGGAAGCAGAAGCCAGGAAGAACTTGGATGTGGAGGGGCTTCGCTGCAGTTTTAGAGCAAGTTAGATTGGGACCCAGTGGCCAGGACACAGACTAGATCTAGAATAAGCAGGGCCTCACCATGGCCCAGGAAGAGCCAAGGCTCTGTCTGTAAATTCATTTCTGATAATGCCCTTCCACCCACTAGACCCCAGTCTAACTTGCTCTAAGCCCAAACTTAAGTTCTGAAGAGAGCTTTTGACCAGATATTCAGGCCAGCTCTTTGTCTCTCAAGAGTCCTTTCCCGGCCCCGGGTCACTGCCAGCCACACTGCAGCGGGGTAGACTCAGTGGCTTACTCCAGGTTCCCTTATGCTAGGTCGCACTGCCTCGGGTTTTCTCCTCGGGGTCCCTGTACACATCTCACATCCTGCTCGCCCTGCCCACTGCCTGCTCCCCCACTTTCTCCAGCACCTCCCCCAGGTTCCCCCAGCCTCTCTGCAGGGTGGATGATGAGAAGCCCAGTGTAGAATGCAGACCCCTGAATGTGCCGCGGGACTGAGCTGTCTGCCTGGCTCCGGGGCACATCGTGTGCCGAGACAGCCACCCCGCATCTGTATCCCAGGCACCTCAGTAGGCTCCCTTATGTCAGCAGCTAGCCCAAGTGGCCCATTAATGACAAGGGGCACCCGGCAGTGACTGTCCCAGGCTGCAGTTCCCCAGTTGTCGATCTTTAACCCAAAGCAATTATGCCCAGTGCCTAAACTGCATTTCTAACGCCTACTGGCAGAGACGAGTCCACCTAGAATGATGGTAATTATTTTGAATGTCTGCATTCTTTGTCCTCCCTTAAAAAAAAAAAAAAAAAAAAAAAGAGATACAGCATCAGGACAGCGTGTAGTTCTAGCCTGCTCAGCCCTGAAGAAAATGTACAGAGACATCCTAATAAGAGGAGAAGACAGTGTCCCTCCAAAGTGCGGGGAGTCAAAGGAAGGAAAGTTGGCCAAGGTGCAGCTCTTGGTGGTGCATCTCAGTGGCTCTTTCAAGGTCATCTCTGAACGCTTATGCAAAAGACAAGGACATTTCATGCCTCCTGAGTTGCTGCAGTCCCAGTTCGATACTCTGGAGCCCCCAACAGCTCCAGAAAACTTCATCCAAGTCAGTGTGGACAAAAAACTTTCAGAGGTCATTACTACAGTTATGGAAACGCTGAAAATGAAGTAAGAACTGTTCCCTGTGGATGGACTAGAACAGAAATGGGCATAAATCTCTGTCCCACTCCAAATCTTGCTGGAGTCTCCTTGCCCAGGCTGTATTCTAAATTTATGAAATGGGCAAACCACAGTGTGTTAAGATACAGTTGCTTAACTGCTTCTGTAGGAATTTGTGATGTACTTGGGCATTATGAGAGGAGGGAAGGAAATTGAAAAGTCAAGCTAAAATTGAAGCTGAAATGCATCTGTGATACAATCAAATGATTACAGGAAATTCATAATCCAAGCTGGAAATCGTTGCCTTGTTTAGAACATTCTCTTTCGTGACTGTATGTTTATAATAAATGAAACTTGGCTGTCCTTGGCTTCTCCTAGAAGTTGATCTCAGAAGCAAGAATGTGCAGGTTCCGGCCACCTACCCGCAAGTCATTTCACACCACACTCTGCTAACCTCTCTGTCCCCAAGCTATGACTCACAGCAGCGGCTCTCAAGCTGAGGTCCCAAAAGCCATTCACAGCAGAACAAGCAAGCTTTGTCCAGTTCTCCCAACAACCTAAGGCGGATATGTCCATTGACAGCAAAACCAAATTTCTTGCCTTTTGGCTAAAATTATGTTAACTTGGAGTCAACACTGTCTCTCCTGAGCAGCTCTGTCATGTGTGTGGGTAAAATTTAAACAGAAAATTACATAACTGCTAGTTAAAAGGTATTTTTTTTAAAATTTGACAGTTAAATGTTTTTAATTTTATTGGTATGCTTTTGATATATATCATGATCACATTCACTGTAGGAATTTTGCACCTGTACATATCTTGAGTCTTTTTCTCTCATTCCTCTATCTTTCTTTCAACTCTTCTTCCCCTCTTGATCTATACAAGTTTTGTTTCCATTTTTTCCCATACTTTGGGTTTCCCACATAAGAGAAACAATGTGATATTTAAACATAATGTGTCCAATGTCTCAAGTTTATCAAAAGGCAGAGTTTAGCCAAAATCTTTTGTGATGACAAAAAGGATTACTTTAGCAAAGATTAAAAACAATTAGCCTGGTGTGGTGGTGCACACCTGTAATCCCAGCACTCAGGAGGCTGAGGCAGGAGGATCACTGTGAGTTCGAGACCAGCCTGGGCTACATAGTGAGTTCCAGGTCAGCCTCAACTACACAGTGAGACCCGGTCTCAAAATACCAAAAAAAAAAAAAAAAAGATTAAAAACAATTATGTTAGGGGAAATTGTTTTTCAAGTAGGGGAGCTGTCAAAATAGTTCATTTGAGAAATTCCTACTCCAAGATGTCTTCAAGTTTGCTGGCTGTTGAGTTCAGCGATCAGCCCAGAATGTGTGGCATTGTGGGCATGCACAGGTGTGCAGCTTCGGGCTTCAGTGCCATGGGGCAGGCTTTCCGTACCTGACTGCATGTGATCAGGGTCCCCGATAATCCCTGCCTCTCCACTGACATGGGGGACACCTGTTTGGTGCGAGTATCTTCACCTTCCAGCACTGACTCCTCTCCCGTTTCGACAGAGGCAGCCAGCTACAGGCTCAGACCCGGGTGGAGTCTCACAATTGTGTTACACTGTTCTTATTTCTGTTGTTGTTTTCCTTCTATTGTCTTTAAGACAAGTATTTAGTGACATGACAGTTGCTTTAAAAATAAATACGGCCTGGGCCAGGGATTTAGCTCAGTGGCACCATGGCTACCTCACAAGCGCAAGGCCCTGAGTTTAATCCCCAAATAAATAAATACAAATAAGAACGAAGATATGTCATGTAAAGGGACAAGATCCCAATGATGACTGTAACTTGCTTACCTCGGATGTACCAATAAACTTAATGAAAAAAAGGGAAATAGAAGTCTGTAAACGGTCTGTACAGATAACACTTTGAAGTATTTTTGATCTGAGATTGGCTGGATCTGGATACAGACCCCTTGGGCACAGAGGGCCAACTGTTCAACGTGGCTCATTTCAAGATAAAAGTGCACAGTTTGCAGACAGACCCAAAATGCACAGGCGGAGCTCGGCAGCAAGGAGGCAGAGGCCCACTGGTCCAGTCCGCCCCACTCCGGGGCAGTGAGGTCTGGACAGCGCTCAGGAGACCAGCTCGTGTCTCCACCCAGCCCCTGTGCAGAAGCCATCGGTGATGGGTCCTGTGCAGGCGGAGAGGCAGCACGCTTGCCGTGGAACTCCGGTGGACAGCACTGTACCACGAGCAGGGGCAGCTGGGTGGGCGTCTGTGGGCTGAGGTTGTAGGTGCCGGTGCGTCCGTGGCATGTGGAGCACCAGGGAACCAGTGGCGCAGGCTGTGATCTAGCTGCCACAGGCCTGGTCGGAGCCTTTCTCCCCACTCCGGGAAGGTGTTTCATTATCTCACTGTTCACAGTGACGGGAAGAGGAAAACGAAGCAGGGTGTGGTTCTGAGCTGAGAGTGTGCGCCGGATCAGTCATTAAAGGCAGACACCTGCCTGCCGAGCCCGCATCTCTGACAAAGGAGCCACAGCTGACTGAGGAGCGGCCCGGGCTGGACCCCCAGGGTGACGGTGGGCACGCGGGACCCCACCTGCATGTGCAGCTTGTGCTAAACCCCTCAGAGAACACTTTTGTCCCTGGTGAAGTTCAGAGCTGACCAAAGATCCGTGGACAATTCACAAAAGGCAATGTGCAAAATTGTCATATTTGGGGCTGGTGACATGGAAAGTGGCTGCAGAGTGGCCCTTACTGGACTAGGACCATAAGTAGAAAGGATCAAAGAAAGGGTGGGAGTCTGGCGTTCCTGCCATCTTCAGCACCAGTGGGTCTTCTGGGCTGCGCCCTCTCCTGCAGGCTGTGTCCGCCATCTTCAGCACAGAGGGTGTTCTCGGCCACGCCCACCCCTCGGCCTTCCCGCCATCTTCAGCACAGAGAGTCTTCTCGGCCACGCCCACCCCTCGGCCTTCCCGCCATCTTCAGCACAGAGGGTGTTCTCGGCCACGCCCACCTCGCAGCGTTCCCGCCATCTTTAACACCAGAGGGTCTTCTCGGCCGCGCCCTCTCCTGCAGGCTGCGTCCACCATCTTCAGCACCAGAGGGTCTTCTCGGCCCAGCCCTCCCCTGCTGGCACCTCTGCCGCCATCTTCAGCACTGGAAAGGTAGCCGCGCGGGCACCCCCCGAACCCCCCCAACCTTCCCCCTCGCGCTTTCAGACCTCCTGATTGCACCAGGCTTTGGACCTATTCTGTAGAGGCAGAGGTGGTCATAAAGAGTATTTTCTGGCACTTTCAATTTTGAACATCTTTAAAGAAGTGGTGGGGGAAACTTATAGTAGACCTGAGTGGAGTTCAGCCCTTTAGGAGGTCAGGGAACTTAGTGTGGGCCTTGCAGCCGGAGCTCAGTCTGCTTTGTGGGGTTCTGCCACCAGCTAGCTGAGGTCAGGGGACTCGGCTCTGCAAATGGCAGCACATATTGTATATTATGACAGCAGTGATATAGTCTGAAAGAGGCCCTTCAAACTCATTTTTCTTTTTTTTCGTCCTACTCTGCAATTTTGTTTTGTTTTGTTGTCTTTCTCTAACTCAGTCTCTTACTCCACTATAGTATCCCTCATCTCCCTTTTTGTTTCGGCTCTTGTCCTAATTCAGATTTCTTCTATTATTATTTTTTTCTCTATGTTCTTTTCTTATGTTATTCTACCTTACTCAAGGGTTACTATTATTTCTATTTTGTTTGTTCTTTTTGAATTTAACAATTTCCTGACGATTGTCTGGTCATTCTACGTCTTTTGGCTTCATATGAAACCTTCTCTAATTCTTATACTTATCTACTTCTCCTGTCTTAACTTTAAGCCCCCATTGTAAATGGTAGATATCCTTATTGAAAAGTTTATTTACTGTAAGCGTACTTCGGATTGCTTCTTGATTTTAATTAAATTCACATGGTTTGAAGGTGATAGATTGATGACTACCATAAGTGGTCAGTTTGCAAATTGTGCTTCATTATATTGTGGTGCTGATTGTATCAATTAGGATAAAGGATTGTGATTGATTCAATGAGCTGTTTTCTTCAGTACTATGAAAATGAGCATGTCTGTGAGTCATTAGAGACCAATGGGCTGCAGCCCAACTATATCAGGAAGATTTAAATAATAACCTAAGGTTTAAACTAAAGATAACCCAACAACAATAGTAAAAATGAGAAAACGCTTAAGCAAAATACAGGGACAGACTTCCAGTTCACCAATGGCAAACAGTGGGGCAAATGAGGATGAAAAGTCTGACAGTAAATCATCAGGACACCCTGAACTCAAAGCGCAGGAAATAACAAAACTGATCAATCAGGCTCTAGAGAAATATAAAACAGAAGTAATTTCCCAGATAATCATAGAGATGACAAGCAAAATGAAAGTTATAATTCATGACTCTAGAACAGAAACTGAGAGGAAAATAGATGAGCTCAGGACCATGATAGAAGCCATGAATGTCCAGCATAAGAAAGAATTGGAAACAATAAATGCCCAATACAAGAAAGAAATGGAATCCATAGGACAGATTCAAACAGATATCCAGGAGATTAAAAACTCCATTGAGTGTGTTCACAAAAGAATAAAGAGTCCAAAGATAGAATCTCAGATATAGAATATAAAATTGCAGTGACCGAGAAAAGAGAGGTCTCTTAAAAACAGGGGATCATGAGAAATTGATACAACAACTCTTAGACGATACTAAGAAGAATAACATAAGATTGATAGGAATTCAAGAAGTAGTAGGAGAAAATGTAAATGACTTAAAAAAGCTATTCACAGAATTAATTATAGAAAACTTCCTAAACAGAGGGGAAGAATTTGACATACAGATAAGTGAGTCATATAGGACTCCAACTAGCCGTGATAAAAAAAAAAAATCTACACCTAGACATATAATAATCAAGATCCCAGAAATCCAACAGAAGAACAAAATATACTACAAGCAGTAAGAGACAAGAAACAAATTACATGCAAAGGAAAGCCTATCAGAATCACAGCAGACTTTTCAATATAAACCCTTAGATTAAGGAGATCCTGGAATGAGATATTTCAAGTACTAAAAGAAAACAACCTCCAACCTAGACTGATGTATCCTGCAAAACTTTCTTTTAAAATGAATGGGGAAATAAGATATTTCCATGATAAAGAACACCTGAGAAACTTTACGAATACCAAACCAGCACTACAACGAATTCTAAACAATATCCTAGAAAAAGACAATGAAGGTAACAACACAATGAGGCCCAAGAGAGCAAATCAAATAGGCAAGCCAAGAAACTAAAAGGAGGTGGGGAAAAAAAAACCATAGTAAGTTAGTACATATCAGTTATAATCATCAATATTAACAGCCTCAATTCACCAATCGAGAAATAGGCCAGCAGAATGGATTAAGAAGCAGGATCCAATAATATGTTGTATACAAGACACGTTCAGTGTAAAAAGAAGCCCATAGACTGAAAGTGAAAGGACAGAAAACTTCTTCATGTAACAGGAGCCCCCCCCATAAAAAAGCAGGGGTAGCATTCTTATTCACAAAGTTTCAAACTTAAACTGATTGAAAGAGACAAAAAAGTTCACTACATCCTTGTGAAGGGAACAATTCAAGAGGAAGAGATAACAAATAATTTATTTTAAATTTATTGAGTATGTCATAAAGTATATATGCTTTCCCCCCCCCTCTTTTTTTCATTTTTATTTTTCTTCCTCTG